GTTGGTGTAGGACATATCATGCATCCTTGCATCCTGCAGGGATTGTTTCTTTTACATCTTTGAGCTTCCTGATGAGGGGTTCCAGGAGGAAGGTTGATGAGAGTATCCTCATGGAGAGGAGTAGTAGGATTCATCTCGAGGTTGTCTTGTATATCCGCCAGGAAAATTAAATCAAAATGTTGACAGATCACAGCAACACTGTTAAACCCCAAAACTCAAGGCTTATGATATCAAGAAACCGTATTCATAAATGAACAAATTGCTACCTTGGACTCATCCTTGCACCGCTAGAACGGAACTTATATGCTGCAAAATACTCGTAAGATTTTCTACATATCTTCTGTAAGATACAGCAATCAGCGTTCATTCTAAATAATAAAAGAAATATAAAAATAACTACGTCCTACTTTATCTTTAAAATAAAAGGTTATCATAAAAATATAAATACGTTCATTTACTAGTACTTAAAAATCACAATAAAAATCTCCAAGCCGGGCTTTGCTTCATATAGCGCCTCCTTTTGCGTACTCAGATTCCTTATTGGTCCGAAGACTATTTCATTTACAAAAAAGCCTTGGTTACATCAAATTGCGTCACAATACTTCAAAACCTTGACGAAAACCGACTCGTCTCCGTTCATCTAACACATCCTTCTGAAACGCAAACACTTTGAACCTAAGGTAACTTGAGGAAATAATAAATGTTGAACTTTTAACCACCGCGCCTTGTCTTGGACTCAGGGGGCGTTTCTCAGCTCTCGCAGTAAAATGAAACTCATTCTAACCCATCCGGTATTGCGCATATTTTAGGTCGTCTTTACACTGAAGACAATCAATCATCTCCTTAATACCTTTTTGTAAGGATTTACCTAACTAAACCTTAGATAAGTCAATCCTGTATACCGCATAATCTGAAGGCCCCTGCTTGTTTTTTTATATATAAACCTAAACTCATTTTGTCATATTTATCTCTTTCAATTCTGTACAGCTTATATACAGACCCGGATACACTTGAACCCTTCTGTCCTGCTCATCTCTTCACGGTTTGACTCTTTTATTCTTTAAACCCGGAGAAGTTTCTCTTCTATCTATGAGATTCAATTTTCTGCAGGTTCATTTCTTCCGCAAATACCTGGTTTCACACCTTTACTCCGGGTCCTACATAAATAGGGCAACTTCTCATTCCTCTCTCCGGAGAAGTGTATAAACTCCAAATTCAATCCTATACTCATTTTTCGGAGAGCATACTCAGAACTTATACCTCACAAAACAAACACACCAGACAAATTTGAATAAAAGGCCCGTTGAGATTCTGGTGGGGGGTATTTATTTTCCCCAGACTCTTATATCCCAGTCGGCCGTAGCAATACACACAACAGAATTGTCCCGTCTCAAGAAAATCGATAACAAAAGCTTTATTTCCTAAAAAATAACATAAATTATAGATCATGGTTACATGTACAATGTTATAATAAATGTTAATAATAAAAAAAATCTTACGATTTAATAGGGGATGATAGGGGAACTTATTGTTGATCGGTATTGAAATGCTTTTTTATAAATGATTTCACAATAAACGAAAAATGTTTTAGGCTCCATGAGGCAGAGTACAAAGTAATTGCGGGCTGAAATTTGGTTTGATTTTGTCTCCGAGAGGAGGTTTTAAGTTGAAGACGACATTATTCAGAGGTCTTAAAGTTAATGGTTAACAAGAGTGCACGGTTCAAAATGTCGTCTTGGCTGAAATATCAATAAAATTAAATATTTTCTAAAATACTATATATTGAAAGAAACAATGTGTTTAAGAATGATAAAAATTTTTCGAAAATATTTAGCTTCCAGTTTAAAATAATTTAAAAAAACTAATTCTGAAAACGTATCCACCCCCAAAGTAGGAGTTTTGAAGGTCGAATTTGCGCTCAAACTCAGGATTTACAGATCTTTAAAAAGTTTAATATGTCTCAAATGAATCCAAAAGAAGTTTTCCACAACACTGCATACTCAGTTTAACTACCTTACATAGCCGGTCACTCCCTTTAAAAAATTGAAACTAAACTGGTATCTTAAAAAAAGATTAGTTTAAAGTGTATTCCTCGGCAATAATTTTTAGTTCAAAGTTGAGTTGGCAATAACGTTTAGTCCAAATTTTAGTTGACACAAATTTTTAGTTCAAATTGAGTTTGCAATAATGTTTAGTTAAAGTTTTATTATTGGCAAGAATGTTCAGTTTACAGTTTAGAGTTGTCATTGTCAATCATGTTTAGTTTATAGTAATGAGTTGGAAATTGTGTTTAATTCTAAGTTTAAAGCTGGCAATATTGTTTAGCTTAGAGTTTAGAGTTGGCAATTGTCTTTAGTTTACAGTTTAGAGTTGGAAATAATGTTTAGTTTAAAGTTAATTTGTCAAGAATTTTTAGTTCAAATTTTAGTTGGCAATAATATTTAGTTAAAAATGTAAGGGTTGGAAAAAGTGTTAACTGGAGATTTTAGATTTGGCAATTGTATTTAGTTCACAGTTTAGTTGACAATAATGTAAAGTTTAGAGTTTAGTGTTGGCAATAATGTTCAGTTCAAAGTTAGAGATGGCAATTGTGTTTAGTTCAAAGTTAAATTTCAGAATTGGCAATAATTTTAGTTTAGGGTTTAGAGTTGGCAAAAGTGTTTGATTCAAAGGTGAGTTGGCAATAATGTTTACCTAAAATTTTAGTGTTTGCAATAATGTTCAGTTTAGAGTTTAGAGTTTGGCAATAATTTCTAGTTCAAAGTTGAGTTTGCAATAATGTTAAGTTCAAAGCTTAGAGTTGGCAATACTGTTAGTTTTAGAGTCCGCAATAATGTTTAGTTCAAGGTTTATTGTTGGCAGTTGTGTTTAGTTCAAATTTTAAATTGATGGCAATAATGTTTAGTAGATTTCAGAGTTGGCAATAATGTTTAGTTTAGAATTAGAGTGACCTAATGTTGATGCCGAGTAAATAATTTTCAAAGTTTTTTTTCAGCCTTGTCCCAATTTGTGAAAATTAGTATTTAAAGATCCCTGAAAAATTGCACCTTAAATCTTTCTATTTATGAACAAAGTTGCGGCAAAGACTATTTAGAGACAAATTGCAAACAAGACTTTAAAGTTATTCCGGTTCTTTTAGAATGGTGTATAATCACTAAAATCTACAAAATCAAGGTTGAAATATAGAATCTACACATTAAAGTTCCATAAAACCCGTTCAGATAATACATTTTCTGAACAATGAAAGATATTCAAATCTGTTGCAATGTCGTACTTACGCGCGCAAACAATTCTTGAATTTCAGGTTTGATATTGCAAAATTATATAATTCTATTGCATTTTTTCATGCATAATAAGATGCAACACAATGCATGTTCAATAAAAATCAATTAAAATATGCATTTTTCTTTCTTTTTATCTCAAGTTATATAGAATGCAAAAATGCGAAAGTGGGGGGGGGGGGTAGACTAAACTTACTCAAATCAAATTGGAGATTAGCTAATCTTTTTCGGTCAAAAAAATTAATTTTTCACTGATATTTATCGTGAAAAAAGTGTTTTTTGCATAATTACATTGGTGTTAATTGTTCAGGAATCAAACGGAAATGGATTTAGATTCCTTGGATATGCTGAACCCAAAATCAAAACCTTTCTCATCTGAATCATGGTTCCTTAAACAGTTACATCGCCCTCAACCAGTGGAATTAGAGCTTGCTCAACATCTTTTCTCCCCTGAACATCCATCCCTGTCCTCCGCTGAACCTACTCCATCTCTCTCCTCTATCCCTAAACCTGCTCCATCCCTCTCCTTCACCCTCGAACCTGCTCCATATCCCTCCTCCATCCCTAAGCCTGCTCCATCTCTCTCCTCCATCTCTAAACCTGCTCCATCCCTCCCCGTCACCCCTGAATCTGCTCCATCTCTCTCCTCCATTCCTAAACCTGCTCCATTTCTCTCCTCCATCTCTAAACCTGTTCCATCCCTCTCCTTCACCCCAGAACCTGATCCATCTCTCTCCTTGACACCTAAACCTGCTCCCTCTCTCTCCTCTATTCCTGAACCTGCTCCATCCCTCTCCTCCTGCCCTGAACCTGCTCCATACCTCTCCTTCACCCATAAACATGATTCATCTATCTCCTCCTGCCCTGAACCTGCTCTATCCCTCTCCTCCTGCCCTGAACAGGCTACATTCCTCTCCTTCACCCCTAAACCTGATTCATCTCTCTCCTCCTGCCCTGAACCTGCTCCATCCCTCTCCTCCTGCCCTGAACAGGCTACATTCCTCTCCTTCACCCCTAAACCTGATTCATCTCTCTCCTCCACCCCTGTACCTGTTCCACATCTCTCCTCCGTCGCTAATCGATCTCAATTACTTCCCTCAAAACCTATCTTGTCCTCCATCTTCAACTTCTATCCTATTGTTTCCTCCAACTCTACCAATCCTGCCCCAAGTACACCTGCCACTGTTCCTAGGGATTCAACCCAGTATCCCATCCTTTCTCCGGTATATATCAACTCCTCTGCAATCTCTGGGTCCCCCTTCTTCTCCACCAGCTCATCTATCCCTGCTAATCCTAGTCCTAACTCCATATCTGGAGAACCTCGGTTTCAAGATGAATATTGCTGGAAAGGAACACAGTCTCTTTTCGTTAGTTCCAATATCAGGTTTCTAGGTAAGTTTTGTGAGCAGACAGTGTTCTTACTTACTCCAGATATCCAGGATGATGTATCCGGCCCAACCTTCCAGAGGAAGTCAGAAGTTGTTAAAATCTTGATGAGTTGCCTTTAGATCCTTGGTTTAGATGATGAATTCCAAGGTTTAGGATAAATATTTAGGTTTAGATGGTAAACACCATGGTTCAGGTGGTAAACTACATGGTTTGAAAGAAAACTCCATGGTTTAGATAAAACAACTCTATAGTTTAGATGAGAAAATCCTTGGGTCTAATGTCAACTCATCAAGATTTTAACAAGTTCTGGCATTCTCTGAAAGGTTTGGCCGGATAAATCATCCTGGATATCTGGAGAAACTAAAGACTATGGTCTGAACATATAACATCAGGAACTTCTGAGATATCACTGTTAACAATTCTGCACTAAAAAAGAGATACAAAGGAATTGAGTATTTGTCACAAACTCAAATTTTCTAATCCCTATATCTTTGCAGCCTGATGGTCTAAGCATTTGATATTTCAAACTAAGATTATTTGATCAAACAGAATTTATAGTTTGAAAAATCTAAGGTCTACAACATTGGGGTTTAAAAGATATAGGGATAAGAAATGCAGAGTTTGTGGCAAAGACTCAATTAGTTTTATTATTTGTTTTATAAAATACAGAGAATGTGTGCATAAATTGTTTTTTCTCCTTGTAATCTAAAATGCTGTTAGCTTAGTGCAAAAACTGTAATTCAGAGTAATTTATAGATGAAATATCAAGTTGTATGACACCCCCAAATACTGCAAAAAAAATAAGGGTTGTACTTATATATGTTTGTTCTAAAATAGTCGTGTGCGATCATATTGAACTTTAAAGTATCTGTGAAATCAGGACTGAAACCTGAATTTCTCCAAATCTTAAATGCGGATTTGCTCAGGATTCCCTCGGTCCTGGATTTTGATTTCTACATTTTGAATTAATTTTATGTCTGAGCACAAAATTTAAGTCTTGAAAGGGTTAAGCTCACTATGATCTGTTCAACCGGATAAACCAAGATATAAAATCTGCCAAATCAAATAGCCAAAGAGTTTGAAATATCAGTATATCACCATATGGTTGTAAGGGTAAAAAGATTTGAAAATTTGAGTTTTATTTTTAGATGAAAACAGTGCAGAAGATTGCTCAGAATCTGTGGTAAGCATTAAACAAATTGTAAAGGAACTGAGGTTTTATAATCCCTATATCTTTGCAACCCAATTGGCTTAGACCTTAGATATTTTAAACTATGAATTATGTTAAATTAAATAATCAAATATCAAAGGTTTACACCATCAGGCTGCAAACATATATGATGAGAACATTCTAATTTTTGACAAAGACTCCTTTGAAATATTTTGTGTTTGGACTTTATAAAATGAAGTTGTTTGAAGATTAATATCTAGATATCTGATTGGGAGTCAAGGAAAGAACAGAAAAGATCAGCGGAAAGAAATCTTGTTATGTTAGGCGATGACGTAACAATATTTAAACGTGCCAAACATCATTAAAATATTTCTCCATTTTGTTTTCTTTTCAATGAATTGATTTATTTTAAAGGGACTGTATATATGATTTTCAAGTATTTCTTCATTTGAGAGATATTTCCGATTCACATTGATACCCGTTAAACCTCTAAGGGAGTAGCAATAAGGAGGAAATTGACTTACAATATGTTCTTCATTGTCTCTGTAGCAAAAATCCGAAGTATCGTTGTGAATCGAAGAAATTGTTTAATAAATGGAATAATTTACGTCTACAGTCTTTTTAACATTTGATTTTTGGTTTAGGTACATAGTTGTGTACACATTTTTGAATTTTGCTGTTTTTTTATTTTTTATTTCTTATTATTGTCCAACAACAAAAATATGACTAGAATTATTTGATTTTTTATATTATGAGTGAAATAAATTTTGAGAAATTGTAAATAACCAATGTTTTTTTTTCAATAGTTTGATTATTTGTAAGAAATTTGTATTTGAAGCGTTTAGGAATCTACGAAGGAAATTATCATCCCTATCATGATCTTTTAAAAGATCGAACATTTTCTTTTTAATCTTTGCTGAATCTTTAATGTGACCAGAAATATTAACCATTGGATTTACTTAACGTTTGGAAAATAATTTTTAAGTGATTACAAAATTTATTTCAAAACATTGTCAACATACTTTTTGTGTGAAAAAACTGGAAAATTGTGTGCATCACTCTGTGAGGTGCCCAGTGTTGAAATATGCACGTGACATGTCTCAACTTTGCAAGTAATTCACTTTATTTTGCGCAATGAGTTTGCACCTTTGACAAAAGGAAAAGTTTAAATCATTTATCATTATTAAAAGCATAAGAAATGTTTAATGTACCGTGGTTGTGAAAATTGTTTGTCAAATTATCTTTAAATAATAAATTTCTGCTCCTCGGCCGAAACTAAAGAAATGCCGGTGCACTGATCAGTCCAGAAGTAATCTTAACCCAAGATACCGAAAGGAATTGAGTCTTTGCCACAAACTCTGACTTTATATTCGCTATATCTTTGCAACCCATTGTCGTAGACCTTAGATATTTTAAACTATAAATTCTGTTAGTACAAATAATCTAAGTTTGAAATATTAAAGATTTACACCATAAGATTGCAAAGATATATTTATTGCAAAATGTGAGTTTGCGGCAAATACTCAATTCCTTTATTCTATATTCTCGCGTATTGCAGGGAATACATTAAAGTTGCATATTTATAACAATTACATGGGGGTGGGGGTCGTCAATTATTATGATTATGATTATGAATATCGGTGGGGGTCGTGAATTATTATGATTATGAATGCTTAGAAGGTAATTATTTGGACTGTATGTGTGCCTTTTAAGTATCTTATACTTATGCCTGATATCCAAGAAGCCAAGTGTTATGAATTTACAGTTCGAATTCCCCCCCCCCCTAGGAGCTCCTAGGGGGGGGAAAAATTTTTTTTTGCACTTCGCGCAAATCTTGCCCCCCCCCTAGATTTATTTCTGTATACGCCCTTGCAGATTAGGGATAGAAAAAATAAACTTTTAGATCTCCAGTTTTTGTTTGATTACTCTGAGATAAAACAACAATATACATAATAAAGTTCTTCACTTTTCATTATTGCTAATGGCTTATAGTGCTCACTCATGTTTTTGGAGAAAACTGTTAACGATATTTTAATTCATAGCGCGGGTAAAGGGGGGAGTAACTATGACTATGAATAATAATACTAGTTATGAACCTTGGTACTCCAGCTTGTAAGAAATAAAATGATTATGTAAAATTGGGGCCGGAAGCACCCTTGAAGCTTAGGCAGGTAAAACAGGTATGTATTGGTAAGAAAGGGAGAGGGGCACTCAAGACTGTACAATACATAATTGCTAAATTGAATGACTCAGCAGTTTTCTTTCAGATGATAAATCTGCCCAGGATGGTATTTACACTATGTACTTTCAAATCATTACTCTTTACTCAATCCATAACGTAAATAATATAAATCAATCTGCTACTTAATCTGAACTCAATTTGTTAATTTACATGTTACTCAATCCGTTATTCAATTTAACCATTTATACTAATAATTCCGTTACTCAAGTTTGGACATGCAAGCTTATAAATACTTATTATTGCATTGAAATCGCGTTGTTTAATCTATTACTCAAAATCTATATCAATTTGTTTACTCAACCTGGTACACGTTCTATATAAACTTATCTATTTAATTACTTAGTTTATTACACAATCTGTTACTTATTCCATTACACAATCTGTTACTTATTCCGTTTCACAATCTGTTTCTTATTCCGTTGCAGAATCTGTTACTTATTCCGTTCCACAATCTGTTACTTATTTCGTTACACAATCTGTTACTTATTCCGTTTCACAATCTGCTACGTATTCCGCTCCACAATCTGTTTCTTATTCCGTTGCAGAATCTGTTACTTATTCCGTTCCACAATCTGTTACTTATTCCGTTACACAATCTGTTACTTATTCCGTTACACAATCTGTTACTTATTACGTTTCACAATCTGTTACATTTACTAACTATCTTATACTTGTTTTTTGTCTGGCTTCAAATTAAATTTGCGAAAACGTTGATGATTGCAAATAGAAAGTTTTGGTTTAGGTTTTCAGTTTTAAATAAGAACCTGTGAATTATTATGATTATGACTATGAATATGGGGGGGGGGTCGTGAATTATGATGATTATGAATAACATGCTTTCCATAGAACGTGATAGAGAATAACTTCGTCATTTTGAAAAATATCGCGGCATTCATTCTTGATTCTATATTTACAACTCGAATTCTTGATTCTATATTTACAACTCGAATTCTTGAAACCCTTCAATCAGAAAATACCTCTAGTCCTGGTATTTCTAAAATGTACGTGGTCTAAATATTTTGTGCTTTTATAATTAAAAAATTAGTAATTAACTTTAGATTTCAATTAATCAAATTCAATAAAAAAAATAAAAAAGACGTCGCATTTTGGAAAGCTCAACAGTATTCTTATTTATTTGAATCCAAGATAAAACCATTTAAAAAAAATGAAATTTCAAAATTATTCGAAATTGATTTTTTACGAATTTTCTGGAGACTTTAATGCGAAATTTGGTTCTAACATCTTTAAAATCTTTGTAATAGTTTATCAAAAATTTTAGTGAAGGTTTTGAATGAAATTTTGCAAAAAATATTATTCGGAAATTTGTAGACGACATTTTCGTAGATATAATGGTCGAATTATAAAATAAAAAAATGTTTAGATAAACCATCAGATTAGCAAGGGCGTATACAGGGGGGGGCATGGGGGCAGTGCCCCCCTAGACTTGTAAAGGGGGGGCGTAGCCCCCCCCCTAGAATTCTGCAAGCCTTTCACACTTTTCAAATCTTAACTGAAGAGTGAAGAACACAAAAAAAATAAGTTTGCTTTTCATGATTATTATAAAAAATCAAAATTTTAAAATATATATAATTACAGTGCAGTGCTCATATGCTGTAACCAAGTTAACCTAACCAACCTAACCACTCTCCCTCTCCTTCCCCTGTATTCCATGACAATCACGTTTTAGGATCGGGTAGCTATTTTTTTTACAGTTTACCTCTATAAGCTTTAAACAAATTGATTTGAATTTAAAACTTTTTCCCTATATCTTTGCAACCTGATGGTGAAAATCTTTGTTATTGAATATTGATCTAACGGGGTTCAAAATTTGAAATATCTAAAAATGTAAGTGTTACGGCCGGCTATTATCTAATTTGTTGTATAACAGGTTGAGAATATAAAATTAACTCTTATCATTGAAAATTAGTATAAATAAAATTCAGTTATCGGTTTCTGTGAAATTATAGATTGTTCACAAATCTTTTCCGTAGATTTAAAGATTTCCTAGAATTTTCATTGAAAAGAAAACATTTGAAGAATTTGAAGAAATTTGAAAAAAATATATTAAGACGAAAAAATTAAATATAATAATGATAATGAAATAATTGACTTTTTCACAAACTTCTTTTGAAAAATAGGGGTTTTGTCCAGGAGAACGATTCTTGGTCCCGCCCCCCGGGCCCCCCTCCCCCCTTCTATCAATTTTATACATGATCAAGATTTCAAAAAAATATATTTATTTTGTATTATTTCAGGGTTATGTCAGGTTAGGACAGTTTGTGGGCCGAGCGCTGCGGTTAGGACAGTATGGGGGCTGAACGCAGCAGCTAAGACAGGCTAGTGGGCCGAGACCCTCGGTTAGGATAGGCTAGGGGGCCGGGCACTGCGGCCACATGACCAACTTTATCCATCTTTTAAAAATAAGATACATGTACAAAATTCACAGTAGGGGGGGACCCCTCCTGGGGGCGGGGGAGGGTGTCCAAAAACCGTCCACTAGTAAATTACCAAAATTTTCGCCCTGAATGATTGTAGAATAATTGTAAAAAGCCTTTCTTCTGTAAACCATCCCTTTATGTGTAATTTTACAAATGAATTTACGCTCTTACTCATAAATTATACAACAGTAAAACGTCGATGCACTGACATCAAATCGAATAAATCTTAAATTGTTCCCTATAATACTGCACTCCAAATATGTTAGCTAGCTAAATAATGAATAAGTCGAATCCACCTGTCATAAATCTTACTATTTGCTGAGTCACCCTGGAAAATTTCATGTTCTGCCCTGTGAGCAGGGGAAAACAGGCGGCCATGAGCCACCACTACACTGTTAGAAATGCCATTTTGTAAATTTTCGATATCATCATATTTCAGGCCTATATAACCAGTATATAGAAGACATTCATTGATATATCGTTTGAAATTTGATGTTTTCTGGTCAGAATGATTTTACTTGAATTAGCCTAAACACTAGTTGATATAAGTAAAATTAGAATCACATCAAATTTTTAAATGAGAATTGAGAATAATCGATGACTATAGGTTGTAATATCTGAATGATTTGTTTGAAATTAAATTGATTTTTTTACGGTCTAAGTCGTATGTTGCAATTTTCTCAATTTCATGGCCGCTAAGTTATTTGGTATGAGAAGTCTATAACAATTTTCTCCTTATAGACACAACAGATAGAAGTAAGATTAGTAGCGATCAAAAGCGCTTTTTTATCGCACTAAGCCTATACCCCCTTTCATTTTTCACGAACACTCCCTTTAAGAGGAATCATCTTTTTTTCATATCAACACTTATATAACACAAGATATGTGTTTTTGTGTGACAATGCTGAATTTTTTAAAATCGTAATTTAAAGGCCCTAAATATATCATTTAAAAATTATTTTTGCCCGGAAGAGTCAACAGAAGAGAAAATAGTGGTAGCTCAGGGCTGCCGGAAGAGAAAAAAACTAATATGTGGCCCGGAGGAGGAAATATTGGTGGCTCATGGCCGCCTGACTTCCCCCGCTCTCCCTGTAGGCTGGCCTGTACCAATAAACTCTTATAACACTTGTTCAACCTTTTGTACTTCATTCTTTCTTAAAGGGACTGAAAGCGTAATTTTAATGGATCCTCCATGCAAAGATGACAATGCCATCACTCTGAACAGGCCTCAGAGGTCGTACGCAAAGACTTTACCAAGCTTTGGACTGGAGCAGGTTACAAGAGGGAGATGATCAACAAGGAGTATTCTAACAATCTCATTAAGTGTGTTGTTGTTTACAATTCCACGCACAAATAAACATTTTTTTGTTACTTATGTTTTAAATTGTGAGGAGAGCAAAGATTTAACATTTAGGGGTCTAAATATCTTGTTTCTAAACCAATTTTGACTTTTCGTAGGTCTAGATATATGTTTTAAGGGTCCAGAAAAGAACTGGAACAATTTTTAAAGCATTTAAGATGATCGTATAAAAAATACATATGACGGCGTATAACAGTTTAAGCAAAAAATATAAAAATTGGCTTAAAATCTCAGGACGTACGGCTAGGATTTTGAAACTAGCAGGATTTCATCTCTGGATGTATATGAACAAAAAATATTTAGTAACTTAGGCTGGAACTTTTTTTTTAATCATAGTTGAGGACACATGTGGGTCCCATTTATTTATTATATTTAGTCACCTAGTTACGTTATCACCTCTGGTCGACGAAATGTTCATGCTGGTATTTAGTCGCCTAGAGTTACGTTAATATCACCTCTGGTCGAATTGTGTTACGTTAATATTTAGTCGCATATTGACAAGTAGAGGACTTGACTAGTTGGCGCTTTTTTGTCGACTAATTTCGTCCACCCATTATGTGATCCCAAATCTTTTGTTCAAAATAAAATTAAAATTTTGTAAAGGAGTTGAGTTTTTGCCACAAACTCTGATTTTCTAATCTCTATATCTTTGTAACCCAATGTCGTAGACCTTAGATATTTCAAACTAATAATACTTATAAATAAAATAGTCTAAGTTTGAAATATGAAAGGTTTGCACCTTATGATTGCAAAGATATTGGAATCAGAATTTATTTTAGCTTGTGACAAAAACTCAATTCCTTTATACGTTTTAAATATTAAAACTAAAAACAATTGCTTACAGTTCTAAAATGAACATCTCCAGGGCTACGATATTAAGAATAAGAATAAGAATAAGGTAAAATTAGAGCGCATGGCCTTGCGACACTTTATAAACGATGTAGTCGTGTTTGCATTGCCGTCATTTGTCGTTTTGTCAATATGTCGTCTTGTCTCCTGACAGCTTAATAAACTGGAATAAACTGATTTGAACTCGATTTTCTAGATTTTTGCTTTGTCATCCTCGATCACTATGTAGTTCCACAACATATATTTCACTTCTTAACCTTTTCACTTAAAAACTAGTTTTTCCAACGCTCATATTTCAGTATATATATTGTAATATATAAAACACTTAAATGCATAGATTACATAGAGAACCAGGCTACCCCCACCCGGGATAACTTGATAAGTACGTATATGTTTTGGTCACGGTCGTCATTCTCTATTTCTTATAGAGTGCACTGAAGTGACAGAGCGTTTCTCCGTATTTTTATACAGTCTGGGAAAATATCATATCTTTCTTTCGTACTTTCTGTCACGTCTGCAAAATAACAGTTAGTGTTTCTTTTACCTGTAATAATTTTAGATTTTAAATGTGAATTTAGATGTAAGCAACATTTTTCATTGTAAATTAAATATATTTTTTTCCAGATTTTCCTGTTTCCTTTGCATAAGTGGATTTCGAAAATAAAAATGATTTTTAGAGACAACCTTTTTATCATACAGGCCTTAAAGCTATCGCGGGTCCATTCCTCCAAATATATGTTAATAATGGCCCAAATAGTAATACGTTAATCATAACTAGAAAAAGTTGTGTGGTACAAGCATAAGTATATTCCTGGAAAAAAAAATAAAATGGGGGTGGGGGGGGGGGGAAGATAAATTAAATTTTTCGAGAAAATTTTCAATCCTGGCTCATCCCAGTATCCGCCCTTGAGGCCTGTATAGATGTAAATATCATGTTAAAAAAAATCTCATAAAAGATGGTTTTGATTTTACTGAACTGTATATATAAGCGGTATATTGGTTGAATGGCTTGAGAAAAGTATATACGCACTGTATACAGAATTTATCAGTGCTAACTTAATACATCAGTTTTGCCAGTCAGTCAACGATTATCCGTCATGGAGCGAGGAGGCTGAAGCAATACTAACCCTGCCAACAAATTTAATCAATAATAGGTCTCATAATTAAATCAATCAGTTTTCTCAAGATCTAACATGACTCCTTTGAATCAACCCCGTTTAAGTGTTATCCAACCCAACCTGAATCTAAACCTACTCCAGGGTAGTGAGAGGAGTGAGAGAAAGAGTGAAAACATCTCTGAACCTTCTAAACCTTTACATCGGTTCACTCAGCATGCTACCGCTAAATTATTCTCCTCATCTAAGAACGGAGAAAAAAACTATCCTGTCTCTTTTTCCGGTTCTCACATCAGTACTCCCCTTCCCCCCCTCATTAAACTGGAGAGGATAAAACCTGGACAACGTGGGGGTAAAATCCCCCATGTAGTTCAACCTAGATCTCCAGTAATCCTAGGAAAGGATACAATATTAAACCTGTCCAGGAAAGACGGAGAAGGAATAAAGAAATCCGAGATTATAAATCCCAAACTTATCCTTGATAGGATTAAAGCAGGAGAAGAGATCTTTTTTCAAAACTATGGAGTTCGTAAAATCTCCGGGTATCCAGGTTCACCTGGAAGGTTCAGAATTGAGAAAATAAGGCCAGAATTGGACCAAGAAACAAGGAGCAACAAGCAATACCCGGAGATAAGTCTCAAAAGAGCTCATGCGCCTGATTTTAGAAACCACACCGCGACCAGACATGTTAAGCGGTACAAAGAAGTAAGCCTTGAGAAGGTTGGAAGGGATAGGGTTAATGTTCATCCTTGTTATCCAGACGTGGTTCCATCGTTAGATAGAATTCCATTACCCCCGAACTATCCCGATCCTGAATTCCGTAAGTGCAATGAATTTCAAGGAGGAAAACTATTTAAACCGTCTCCAGTATATCCTAGAGCAGAGGAGAACCTATCTCCAGTATATCCTAGAGCAGAGGAGAACCTGTCTCCAGTATATCCTAGAGCAGAGGAGAACCTGACTCCAGTATATCCTAGAGCAGAGGAGAACCTGTCTCCAGTATATTCTAGAGCAGAGGAGAATCTGTATCCATTATGTCCTAGAGCAGTAGAGAACCTGGAAACCAGGGTTCAGAGCTTACTAGATTCTCTTCTCTACGGAATACAGGTTTAACCAAATCATAATTTTTCAATTAAGTGAAAAATAACATTTGCATTTTTATCTTATAGGATCGAAATCGAGCACTTTTTGGAGATTTATCAGCTAATAGAAGGTTAGTTTAACGTTTTGGAGATTTATCACCTAATAGAAGATTAATTTAACTTTTTGGAGATTAATCAGCTAAAAGAAGGTTAGTTTAACGTTTTATCATCACTGTGCCTTAACCCTAAACAGCCTGGGGGGGTGTTTGTAGTTTTTTTGTACAGGGCGGAAAAAAGTTTGGTCTATGAAAAAAAATATTTTTTTTTACCCTTTTTTAGGCATTTTTTCCACCCCCCTTGCCCCAGCCTTTTTAGGGTTAAAAAATTGGACAGAATTAATTGTATAAAGGTTTAATAATTTCCATTACCCTTCCTTCCTTCTCTTTTATTGTTTTGTAAAATGTGACTTATTTTAAATGTTCTTTTTAAATTAAAAGAACTGTCAGCATAATTTCAAGTGATGACCCTCCAAGATGGCAATGTCCAATTCACAACGGTATCCATTAAAGTTTTGTCTGATCAAGATAAAATGTCTATAATTCAGAAAACTCTACACAGTGACTTGCGCATTTTTAGTGTGTGCAAACACATATAAGAGTTATCAGAATTAGACACTTTTAAACCTAGAAAAACGATAATATCTTTCACATTATTAATCAGATAAAGATTTCAAGGATACCGTTAAGAATTGCACATTCCCGTTCTTACATGGAGGTATACTTGGTACTAAATACGGTTACATTCCCTTTAGTAAAAATTCAATAATAAGAAATAAATAAATGATTTTAAGTCATTAAAAAATATATATTTTCTTCCCTGCCTTGTGTGTGTGTGTGTAGGATGACAGACATAATAAAATATGCACGTAATTCTAGTATAAGTGGCGAGCAGCGCCAGATTTCACCAATTCCCGGCCTGACGAGACATTTCTGGACTGATGCTGAGTCTTTCCCTAGTAGAGAGATTAGTCCCATACAGGGGGTAGAGCCGGTTCAAATCAAGACAGAGATGGTGGAAGAGGACGAGAAGGAGGAGGATAATGGGAAGAAGGATGAGAAGGAGGAGAAGGAGGGGGAGAATGGAGAGAAGGAGGAGAATGGAGAGAAGGAGGAGACAGAAGATGATGAAAAAGGGGATCTCGTTATTGCAGAAACAGAAAGGTATGTTTACTGTTAAAATCAACCAAAATTATAACGTTTTATGTATTCTTTAGCTGAAAGTTAAAATATTTACTTTTTGAAATTTAAAAATTAATTTTGTTGAGCAGGGAGACCGAGCTGCTGGGGTGCCAGGAGATACCTTTCACGGAGGGGTTCCTGGTCGCCTGCAACTCAGAGAAGTTCCACGATCTAATGAAGACGACAACACTCACACAAAAACAAATAACAATCTGCAAGGATATCCGTCGACGAGGAAAAAATAAGGTTTTGTTTATGCTTTCCATGGTTTACACAGGGATAACCATAAACCTGTGGAATAAGAAGACGACATTTAAGCTATATTCAAAGTGCATTTGATGTTGTTACAAAGCAAATAGTTTTTCTTGAAGCTTAAACATCAATTATGAATTAACATGGTCTGTGCAAACTACACAAATGCTGTGTCTCATATATTGACCTTTTTAAAGTGATAACTAAATAAAGGTTGCACTAACTACTTTTACAAAATGTCCTAAATGTGGTCTGCCCTCGTTGTATTTAAAAAATTGGAATCTTTTCGCGGTTTTTTAAAATAAAAACACTGAAATACAAAAAGATTCGTTTTTATTGTTTTAAAAACTATTTCGAAAAATTAAGTTTACGAATCTTTTTATCTTGTTTACATTGTAATTGTAATTAATTAAAAAATCGCAATAATTCGTGTTTTTTTAAATATTTTGTTTTAGATTGCAGCGCAGAATTGTAGAAAAAGAAAGCAGGAACATTTTGACAGGTTGACCCTAGAGATTGAACAGCTGAGAACCAAGAAGAAGGAGCAGTTAACTCTTCAGCAAAATCTAATTAGGTCAGTCAACTCGGACTCTTTTTGGGACAACGTTTAAAAGGTGTGGATTTTTAAAGGATCTCTTACAGAAATTGGCATGTCCGAATCACAGTGGTACCCTTCAAACCTTCTCAAACGTAAATAAGATATCCATCCTTATCTCTCTGATGTTTGATCATTTTCAATTATGGTTTTCTATTAAAGAGGTTTGCGGATTTATGCCACAAACACAAAGAACGTTATCAGAATTTAGCACGTTTTGAGATAGAACATGACAGTACATTCCTCATTGTTGCTTGGATAAGGTATCAATTTGAATCTACATTCTACTTCTGTAATAAAACCTAAATTAAAGTAACACTATATAATCCCTTTAAAAGACATTTTTTAAATCAAAATGTGCTCTATAAGACAAATAGGGTTTCTAGGATTTAAAAACTTAATTAACTTTTTTACTTTTCAGGGATGAAAAACTGATTAAATCCAAACTGAACAGTATCAGCAAAATAATCTCTTGCGTATCAGTCGATAACTCTAGGAAGAGAAATCAGCGCACCCAGCCGAAAATTTCAGTAAGAGAAACCAGCTCACCGAATTAAAGTGAGAAATATTAGAAAGATATAAAATTACGGAATTCTTAAAAAGACATTTTCTACTTGATCTGGCTTTGCAATATTTTTCTGTGATTTATATATTATGTGATAACTGTGATATTATAAATTATATAAAAAATTTATCAAACTTTTTTATAATTTTAATTAAACAAATTTTTTTTAACCCTATCTAGAAAATAACTGAATATGGCTAAACACTAGACTCAAAACCAAATCTTTGAAACCTTATTCCTAACTATAAAATTCTGTTTGATCGAACAGTTTACACATTTGAAAATTAGAGTTTTGAGCAAGTATGTTATAGTTCCTTGAGAATATATCCACTGTGACATAAAGGCTTTACAATTCGCAAATATACATTATTAAGGCTGCAAAAAGGAATTTATGATCTGGAGCGGTAAAATCAAAGCCCAAGGCGTTGCGACCCTTCAAAATTGGCCCTATCTTGAAAATTAATAACTTTTCATAGATGGCTAAGTCTATGTTTATCAATTATAAGTCCAAACAGACTTATTAAAGTGCTTCATGAATTTATTAATTGAAATCAGGTTTTGAAACGTTTTCCTTCTTCGAACACAGCTGTTTTTACAAACTACTAATACCCGACCTAATTAATATATATATTAAATATATATAAATATATAAAATATGCGCCATTTTTGCAAATGAAAATCTGAAATTTTAGCAATAGATTTAAAAAAAATAATGGCTGAAAGATTTTATCTATTTATTGGTTTTGATCGAAAACAAACTAGAAAAAGAAAAAAATCCCAGCAAAAACTTGTTTGCCCTCATGATACCCATTACAATAAAATATATAGTTATATTCAATTTTACTTTTTTAATACCAGGACGATAAAGTTACTTTATCACCCTGTTGTAGGGTTGTAAAGTAACTTCATTACCCCATACAACAGAAAATATTGGGTATGAAATTTGAAATAGTAATAGCAGGGAAATAAATTTTCTTTTTCGCCATGTTGTAGGGCGATAAAGTCACTTATTCAACCTTCAACGGGAAGTACTAGGTAATTTCCTCACAGTGACACATACGGTGATTTTAAAAATGTAAGAAACATTTTTATCTGAATTGCGAACAGAAGTTTAAGATATAAATATTTCCTTAACATTTTATATTTATGACTCGAATAAAATGTTATTATAATCGAATTACTTTCGGTAGATTGATGTTAGAAACATTAGTGAAGTCTTGGATGAGCATTCAGAGGGATATGGCCGGGTCATTTATGAGCTTGAGAGGAGGCAGGATCTAGTGAAAGCTATGGCCATAGAGAATAGAAAGTATAGAGAGGAATTTACTAGAAAAAAAGTGTAAAACGGCCATTTTTTTGTACTGTTTCCATATTGCAGGTGTACTTCACAAATTTATGCTATCTAACCTGTTGGGCCCTAGAATATCATTTTATAGAAAATCTAAAATTATTGTTAAAAGTAAACCAAATTATGAAATAGGCTGGTTTCATAATTGACCAATGATCATTTCACATAGACTCTATGCCTTCCACTTTACAAACGATGATTTTCCGTTATAACTATAAATCAAATGATGTTTTTATTCACCTAATTCATTATAAAGTTTATTTAAAAGCTTTAAAAAATTCGAAATTGAAATGGATAGTCTAGGGAACATACTGTATTAATGTACTCTACTGCATATAATTTGTGAACATTTACATGATTCGTACACTTTGAACTCCCTTTCAGACTGAAAGGGACTGAAAAAATTCGTACCGAGAGATTCTTTTAATTCCTCTCTATATATTCTATTCTCTATGGTTATGGCTAAGCTATTCCGATATGTTCAGTATACAAAACATATAGTTAAAAATATGCATTTTCTGAATCAATAACTATTACACAAGGAGCTCCTCTAGTTTTAAATTTATGCACAATTTTAGTATATTTGGTTATGTATTCAAAATATACTTTCTTCAATAACCCTTTCATCACTATAGTTTCAGTAAAAGTAGATATTTCCATTCACTGTTTAGCCCCGATATAAGGATTCATCTCTAATTGGAGAATGAGATAGATAGAAAGATAGATGATACCGCTAAGCAATTTCTATTGGTTCAAAATTGACATTAAACACATATTATGATCATAAGAGGAGTTTATTGAAAACATACAAGATTTGAATGTTACGTACAATTTACTTCATTTTGACGTGGAAGCTTATATACAAGGAAGCGTATACGGCATTGTGTACAGAAACTTCTTCTAAGCCTTAAATGCATATAAACGTAGTTCAAAAATATGAAAAAATATTCTATGTTTTAAAAACACCAAAACGGTAAAAAAATGTTGGTGGAATATTTGAGTTAAAGACTAAAAAATATAATAGCAAATTTTTAATGATGACTTATTTTCTTGTGATTTTTTGCCAATACCTTGTTTTCTTTTACAAATACTTTCTTTCCCCATGCAGGTAGATATATTGTTTTAGTTTTCCTTATAAATCTGCACTATCATTTTATATAAATATATATATATATATAAGCAAAAAGCCGTACTTAAACTTCTTTTATGTTTTAACTTTGAATGCAAACAAAACTTAGGTACAAAAATATTAGAATAAACATTTATATTTTAAAAATACCAAAACGCTTTATATATATATATATATATACAGAGGAGTGCGTCAAAAAAAACTGGATTATCGATGTTTCGGACAAATTTGTCTAAATTTTTCGGATTTTAGGCAAATCAGATTAACATTTTTATGCCTAAAATCCGAAGCAAACAATATTTTTGAAAATTTTACCCCCGACATTATTAATCCCGTGTTTTTACTCACCCTGTAAAACAATATAACCGTGTTATTTTAAAGGAGCTATTTCTATTTTCTTACATTTAAAAAATCACTAATTATCTGAATGATTCCCACTAATTCCTTCTAATATTTTTCCTATTTAAAATTTAAAAAAATTATTTAGATTTTTTNTAAATTCTAGTTTCGCCAATATGAGTCTTCCTTTTTTAAACAATCGTAATTCACCATTTAAACAATCCTTGATCGTACTTCATCATGCCGGTTTATTGCAGTTTTTCAGAGTATAAACCTTCGTTGTTATTCCATACTCTATCTATCTATCATTTCATCTATCTTTTCATTTATCTATTCATCTACATATTAGTCTAGTTATCTATCTGTCTATCCTTCTATCTTTCTATTTTTCTCTCCTTCTATTTTTCTATCATTCTATCTTTCTATCTTTCTATCTATCTATCTTTCTATCTTTCTATCTTTCTATCCTTTTATCTTTCTATTTTTCTTTCTTTCTGTTATTCTATCATTCTATCTTTCTATCTTTATGTCATTCTGTATTTCTATCTTTCTATCTTTCTATTGTTACAACAACAAGTTCTAAAGGTTACATAAACAAAATGCAAAGTAAGCTTAATAAAACGAAAAATTAATGATTTAAAGATGTGCAATGTGTGTACTGCATCTACCTTCATCAGCTTTGAATCTATGTAAGGAAGTCCCTGGAAAAGAAGTTTCCGGAAAAAAAACCTGGAAATAAAACTTCTGAAGTCCTAAAGAGAAAAAAGTCTTGTTAAAAATGAGGTCAAGTCTAAGACGTTTTAATAAAAAAAGGACTGCATATTGAATATATCCATGGGTGTTTTAATATTAATTGCCCCTTTTTTTGCATGGTTGTAAACATGATTTGTTCCCATGCATATTCTATTATAGGACGTTTTGCAGAAAATCCGAATGGAACCAGAAAAAAGTCCTAGGTAATAAAGTCTCAAAATAGTAGGACTTTTTCAGTGCCTAAATTTAGGACTTTCTATCCGAAAACTTTTTTTCAGAGAACTTTTTTGGCGGTTACCATCTGGATTAACATTATCCTGATTGGGCATAAACTTAGAGCCAGTTTCTTGATCATACCGTTATTTAAGATACTAGGATTCCAATGCGCTTCGCGCCCATCTTCAATCTTAACTTTAAATTGATGCTCTGTTATCATTTTTTTTTTCGTGGATTTTGAAAAATCAAAATACTTTTTTAAGACCAATTTTTTTAATTCTTACCATCCATAAACCTTCCCTGTGACGTCCCACCAATGAATGTAAGGCAAGGAAAGTCAATTGCTGTTTTGTATACTTTGTGTACATATTGAAACCAGTTCCATTTGGGGGATTTTATAAACAATAATAGATGCATCAGTGTTCGTTCAGTATTCGAGGAGGGGGGTTCAATGGAGAATTTACTTCTCCTTAGTACTGTCTGTGAAAACATTTATTTGGAGGGTAAGTGATAAAAAAAAATTAACAATCGTCCAATCTTTTAAATTTTCATGCTCATCATCTAAATCTTACAAAAACGACCATAATATAGTTTATAGTTGATAGTTTATTTCTGTTCTTGAGATTTTTTTCAACAAAAAAGACGTTGTACATTTATTGGGTCTCATTGTTAAATAATTAAAAATGCAGAAGTTTTTCCACAACCTTAGTAAAATATTACAATGGAATAACTTAAAGTTTTTTTAATTTTGATAATTTATGTTATAAATTCCTAAGACCAGAATAAATCATTGATTTTTTATTTGAAAGATGGATCCCATGTCAGGCTGTGACACCCCTACTCTTGTGTTTATATTAGAACCCAAAGACAGTACACTGCAGTACAAAAAATGCGTACACCACTGAAATGACTTTCCTTGCCTTACATTCATTGCGTCCCACTAAGAATTTGGGCCCGATCGGATGAGCCGTTTTGACGTTTATCGGTTACAAACAAACAAACAGACAAATAGACAAGCAAAGTTTATATATGAATGAAATGGAAAACGATTTAGCCCTGTACAATATGAGTATGACTGTACTAAAGTGATTTGCAGTATATTGGCCGAAGAAAAATGTGTTTTAGTGGAGAGTGACTCTGCATACCCTCCACAGGTTGAGAGCTGGGCCTGAGGAATCCCTATTAATACAAATACAAACCTCATCCCCCTCTTTATATAAGGATGGTTTAAATCCTAAAGATTTTTTTTTATGCAAATTCATAATTCATAGTATCCACTATAAATAGTGTTTGCATTTATAAGTTATGCACAGCTGTGTAACTTGCTTCTCGTTTTTTTGCTTCGTCATTATGCATTACATTTTATAACAAAGAAATATTTTTAACAAAACGTTCTTTTATTTGTCAAAAATAATGATTTTTCTCATTTATTTTCTGATTTTCGGCAAAAATCTTCAGTTCTTTGGCGAAATTTAAAGTTTTTTAACTTTTTAACTAAAATTTGTCAAGCCCTAAAATGTTCTCATTTGATGAAACATTTAATAACTTTTATATAGACTCTTATACGTTTTCAGTCATTCAGTTTCTTCTTTGGTTTCTTTTGTAAAAAATGATCTGAGAAGCAAGAGTCGAAAGAGCATGAATATGCAAATGATCAAAAATGTAAAAATTAAGCCCGTCCTCCACCTTTCCCTCATGCACCCCCCCC